TAGGGGTTGCACCGACTAGTCGACTTCAATGCTCTGCCATGAAGCTTTAAGCTTGACGTCGACTAGTCGCTGGTCCTATAAGAGGGCGCAACAGGATAAGAAATCTTTGAAGGACTTCCACATTTACGCTCCATTTCCAAACAGTTAAAATGACAAATAAATGCATACTCTGAAAGCGCTCCACAAGACATGTGTGATTATATTACTGGATGCTCGAAATTGAACAGGAGAATGCACATTCTGGAGAATGCACCGCAAAAGAACGGTTAAAAATTAGCTGTTATAGGAGCAATAGCCATGTGGGCAGCGCTGTGTCATATGCCGTAGCTGTGCACAAGGTGTTTATCACAGCTCCAGACTTATTTGTTCATTAATGACGTCATCAGCAACTAGTCGACTTCGACTCGACTTTCATCACATAAAAGTCGACTTCAAAAAATCAGAAGTCGTTCAACCCCTAATATATATATATATACATTCTGGTTATTGCAAAGCTGAATTTTTAGCAGCCATATTGGTGAAGTTAATGGACAGAGTCTCCCAGAATCTCTGTTTTTTGCTCTTTCAGGTTTTCACGGTTTCTAAAGAGCTGGTTCCTCGTGTTTTATCAAAGATCATTGAGGCTGTAGCTGAAGAAATGAGCCGTCTGATGCAGTGTGTGTCCTCCTTTAGTAAAAATGGTGCACTGCAGGTACAAGTCACCCCTCATATACACTTATCAGGACAGTTAGCATTTGATCTGAAAGGGATAGTTCTCCCAAAAATGAAAATTCTGTCATTAATTACTCACTCTCATGTCGTTCCAAACCTGTAAGACCTTCGTTCATCTTCGGAACACAACTTTTTGATGGAATCTGAGAGCTGTCTGACCCTGCATAGACAGCATTGATCCTTACACAATCAAGGTCCAGAAACATAGCAAGGACATTGGTAAAATAATCCAGCTGCATCACGCGAATGTGTCGTTTACATTCAGATCAAAGCGCAAACAAGGTAGAAAACGTATCCTCGTGGCGCAGCTGACAGAATAACATACGCTGTTTACGTTCAGTGAATACTCTACAGGGTGACGCGGAGGAGACGAATTGTTGAATAAAGTCGTAATTTCTGTTTTCTTTCGCACACAAAAAGTATTCTCGTAGCTTTGTAAAATTACAGTTGAAGCCCTGATGTCACATGGATTATATTACAGATGTCCTTGCTATGTTTTTGGACCTTGATCGTGTAAGCATCCTTGCTGTCTATGGGAGGGTCAGAGAGCTCACGGGATGCATCAAAAATATCTTAATTTGTGTTCCGAAGATGAATGAAGGTTTAAGGGTTTGGAACAACATGAGGGTGAGTAATTAATGACACAATTTAAATTTTTGGGTGAACTATCCCTTTAAGGTGTTGAAATCCACATCATAATTTTTCACCATCATTAATATTTTTCTCGTTAGGCACGTTTGGAAATCTGTGCGCTGCTAGACGCCATAGAGCCGTACCTTACATCAGAGAGTCGGTAAGATATAAACACGTTCAACACAGATGTCTTAACGTGTTAGTATGATAATGTGGGTGTGTGATGTTGTCTCTCATGTGTCTCAGCACTAGTTTTAAGCAGGCATTGGAAGCTCTACCACAGCTACAGAGTGGAACTGACAAGAAGTGAGTTATCACAGTAACATTTGGAATTTTCAGTCAAATACATGCTGAAAGTTATATTTAACACTCTTTTAAACAAATGTTAGTCATCAGAGATGATGATAATTAGAGCTGAGCTCAAATGTCATGACGTCCAAGTGTTACTCTTCTTTTAGATGATGGGAACATTTTGGTATTTAAAACTAATTTTGCATTAAACTGTGATTGACTTGCACTGAAAGTGGCCTGTGTTAAGATGCAAAATTGCAAAAATCCAAAATGGGGTTGAAGATTGTAAACCAATCAGTAATGTTTTGGATTGCATGCCATTATTTTCCAGCCAAAGTGTGTTTATGAATTTGTTGCTGTTACAGGGTTATTTATGTTGTAAAATTACCAGAAATAACTGCGGGTTTAAAAAAAGTTTACTTATACATTCAAGCAAATACATATTTTAACACACACTAGCGTTCAAAAGTTTGGAGTTAGTCATTTTTTTTCATGTTTTTAAAAGAGGTCTCTTATGCTCACTAAATACTGCATTTATTTAATCAAAATACATTTATAATATTATGATACTTCCGTCGGTAATAACATCAATATATATTTTTAAATATAAGTGTAATTTATTCCTGTGATGGCAAAGCTGAATCTTTAGAAGCCATTGCTCCAGTCTTCAGTGTCACATGATCCTTCAGAAATCATTCTAATATGCTGATTTCATGCTCAAGAAACATTTCTCATTATTATCAATACTGTTGAAAACAATTGAGCTGCTTAATGTTTTAGTGGAAACCATGACACATTTTTTCAGTATTTTCTGGTGAGTAGAAAGTTCAACAGCATTTATTTGAAATAGAAATCTTTTTTAACAATGGACTGTCACTTTTAGTCAGTTTAATGTGTCTTTGCTTAAGGGGAGACACTGCAGGCAAAAACACTATTTTTTTCATGCACCTGTCGATTTTGGGCTTTTTGGCTTTTCATAAAGTGTTGATAAAGACTAGTGGAAAGAAAACATCCAAAAGACACTGTTAAGTGTTTATTTTATAGCTCTATATCTATTTGTGTCAATAGATTTTAATTACAATACATATTTTTAAAGGCCGTTTTCTCAAAATGAGCTTTTTCTCCTACACTGAGCCATAAATCTCCACTTCAGTAGCACTTACACACACCAAACTTTACATTTTTGTTCCTGTCTATATTCTGAAGCTTTTTACAGAGGGATTTGTTCATATATAATTTGCTTGATTATATACAACATTTATTCCCATTTATTTATTTATTATTTAAAAAAATATATATTGTTTTATGGCTGTTCTAAGATTTTTTCTGAATTATGGAGTGACAAAAAGAGATACCCAAAATTCCCTCTGCAAGAACATTTGACTCTAATATGTAAAAAAAAATAAACGGACTTCATCCAGTGTTCAGATTTTTGTACTAGAAATGTATGCAAGTTAGTGCAGAATTATGGAGTGACAAAAAGAGATACCCAAAATTCCCTCTGTAAGAACATTTGACTCTAATATGTAAAAAAAAATAAACAAGAGTTTTGAAACGGACTTCATCCAGTGTTCAGATTTTTGTACTAGAGATGTATGCAAGTTAGTGCATATTTCATTAAATAATGCCTCATGCTTGATTATATACAACATTTATTCCCATTTATTTATTTATTATTTAAAAAAATATATATTGTTTTATGGCTGTTCTAAGATTTTTTCTGAATTATGGAGTGACAAAAAGAGATACCCAAAATTCCCTCTGCAAGAACATTTGACTCTAATATGTAAAAAAAAATAAACGGACTTCATCCAGTGTTCAGATTTTTGTACTAGAAATGTATGCAAGTTAGTGCATATTTCATTAAATAATGCCTCATTTGCATATTTAAACATAACATTTTAGAAAACTTGTAATACAAAAAAAAATTTTGCAATTATCAATGTAATCAATCAACTGGGTAAGTAAGGTGATAACTATTAGTTAATATTTTTACCCTATTCACCTGCAGTGTCTCGCCTTAAAAACTAAAAAGTCAGAATTGAGTGGCGTGTCCTGGCACAATGTTTAATATAGTGTCTCAAATTTGATTATTTATTCAACTTGCAAATAAGTACAGATGTCTTTAGTGATTATTTTGTTTATTGAGGGTAAGTTTGGCTTGTTTAATAGTTTCCATTTTTTTCTAATACGTCCCTCTCTCTCTCTCTTCTCAGACTCTTGGAGGAACTACTGAATAAGTTTAAGAGTAGCATGAAGCTACAGCTTAATTGCTTCAAGCCTGCTTCTTTTCAGCCTGTGAAACGATAATCCTTCACAAAACCCCAACATATCCACAGCGCCTCTTCGTTGTAACACTAAGACACCATTTCAGTTTTAAAAACCATTAAAAGTCAATATAGTGCCACTAATATAGCCTTTTCTATTTCCTGAATTACACTTGTTTTTGTGAGTATGTAGCAGCCTGTTGTACTGCCTCTTTGTCCACCTTAATGACCAGATGCACATTAAAAGCCAAAAGAAATCTATGTGCTCTTACACAGAGTGGGTTTTCTGCAAACGTTAATGTGCAAGACAGTTGCTAAAGTAATTGCCAGATTTGTGTGTTTGTGTGTGTGAGGGAGATAGAATTGGTAAGAGTTTTGCTCTTGGTAGATGAAACTATTGAGTTCTGAAATGACTCTTGTTCTCATTTTTATTGAGAGAGTCGTTTTTTGTCTATTATGACCACACGATCAGCGATTCATGCACACACCCTGTCTAGTGTCAGACGGAAAGATTCACACCCTGCCCCTCCTCAGCAATGCGGGGGTAATTTTACCTGTCCCAGGAGGAAGTGTTCGGTATTGGGAGGTGTCCTTTACTGCAAACTGCTATTAAATGCTAGGCAACCAAGCATTGGCATGTGGTTTAGGAGATTGAGATAGAACTGACTAGAACTAGACAAGATCGCAGGCTGTCAACATGCCATCAGAAACTCTCCACAATGATCTAAATATTTGTTTTTACCGTTGTCTCATCATAACTCATTACGTTATTTGTGTGAACCTGAACATTTCTGTGAAGTGACACAAACATAGCTTTTTCCCAACACTCAGAGTGTTGTTTGTTGATTTCTATTCTTCTAAATTTAGAGTACTTACACCCACTCATTTAAGGGAAGCAATTTGACAGAACAGCATCAAAGCCGCATGCGGCACCAGGTGAAAGAGTGGGTGTATTGATCTCAGGCAGTACAGCTTAAGGGAAGTTTTTAATGATTGCACCTTTCCACTCTGTAGGCAGCGGAAAATGATCCAAAACATGTTTATGTGTAATTGAGAGCAGTAAGCCCATAAACGGTGGAAAACTCGAAGAATTTTTGTTTTTGTAAAACATCTCGAAAGTTTCTAAGGATGTCTCGTGCATCCCAAAGAAAAACAGTCTCACCCTATAGCATAGATTCAAGACTTTTTGACATAATTAGTTACTTTACATCGCAATTAGGCCAATCAGAATTGCACATAGTACACAACATTGTTCATTATAGCTTTAAGAGCAACAAAACAACAACCAATGAGGCATTCTGGCTGTTTTCATTGAGAAGGAAGAATAAAAAAGACTTCAGTCTGCCTCTTCCTCTGTGATGTCATCGAGTTGAGACTGCCCGCACCATCCTGTCTCCAACCCACAAACACCATCCTGTGTGTGCGCTGTCACTCGCTTACACAACCTGTATATATTCTCTGCAGACAACATATTGCTTCCGCTCAATGTAAACGAGGGCTTGGCATCCCACCAGATCCACACACGTTCATGGGGATTCCAGTGTTTGTATTGGGGGCTCCTGCCTTTTACAAAGGCTTAGCTTAGTTAACCACAGTCAGCCCACCAGTGATAGAGAGACTCCGGCAAATGACGTCCAATTCTGTTTAGAAAGAATCCTCTCTAGTAGAAGTCAACTTAAAAGAAACTTAGTGGAAAAAGAGAAATAATTTTGAGATTCAATATTGTTCAAAAGTTTAGGGTCGGTAAGATTTTTTTCCTGTTTTTGAAAGAAGTCACCAAGGCTGCATTTATTTGACCCCAAAATATAGTAAAAACTTTAAAGGGATAGTTCACCCAAAAATGAAAATTCTGTCATTAATTACTCACCCTCATGTCGTTCCAAAAACGTAAGACCTTTGTTCATCTTCGGAACACAAATTTAGGTATTTTTTATGAAATCCGAGAGCTTTCTGACCCTCCATGTTTTTTTTGCACACAAAAAGTATTCTCATAGCTTCATAAAATTGCTGTTGGACCAGTCATGAACAATTTTAACGATGTCCTTATCAGTGTGCCTTGATCGTGGTAGGACCCTTGCTGTCTATGGCGGGTCAGAAAGCTCTCGGATTTCATCAGAAATATCTTTAATTTGTTCTAAAGATGAATGAAGTTCTTATTATTGCAATTTAGTATAGCCATTTTCTATTTTAATAGATTTTTTAAATGTAATTTATTCTTGAGATGGCAAAGCTGAATTTTAAGCAGCTATTGCTCCAGTTTTCGGTGTCACATGATCTTTCAGAACTCATTTTAATGTTGATTTGGTGATGAAGAAATTTCTTATTGTTATCATTATTAAAAACAGTTGTGCTGCTTATTTTAGGTGTAATTTTTACCCTGTACAGGTCAGGAATCAGAGCACATACACTCCATTTTCCACTTTTTTTATTAAAACCAATCAATTTTGAGTAAATCAATTTCAGTAACATAAAAGAGCAAAAGTAGTGGAATAAAAAAGTAGAACATTTAGTCAGAATTGGACACAAACATTTTTATAAAAGAACTGCAATTTGAAAACTGAAATTTTATCGCTTTTTTCTAAATGCATAGCCTATATACATCAAATTCTTTGGATTTTATATTCTGAATGCAGCTCAAACAAATGTTGCAAGAAACAATCAATCACAGCTAATATTCACACTTTACATTCTTTTGTGATGTCAGCAAAAGTCCACACATTTGACAGTATGCCGACATAATACAATCATTTATCCTTGTGAGTTGTACACACATTTACGTCTTTCTCAGTATTACACATGACAAGTTTCGCATCTGATGTTGTCTGTTATCACTCTAGATTATCCTGGTAGGATTCTGCTCAGCTCGAGTGTCCCGAAAGGTGCACAGCAGAATTCCAACATTTACCTTTTACACTTTAGCTTACAAGACTTGGGTGATTTTTACAGTTAACCCAGGATTAACAGTCCTGTTTAAACCCTGTTTAAACCTCACCCTGGGTTAATATTTTGTCCTGGGTTTTTAAATTTGAGATTTTTCACTGTACATATTTAAACCCTGGGTTAACATTCTTGTCTGCACATTGATTGGACAAGTATGGCACTTGGTGAACATGTAAACTCTCTCAATAACTGCTTGTCCATCATCTGTTCATAAGCAAAGCTTTGTAACCCTGAGTTAAAAATGGCGCTAACCCCCTTTCAAAATTACAAGAAAAATTCTGAAAATTTCATGAAAATTCATGAAAAAGGCAGTTTTTTTTGTCAGTACAATAGAAGTCAATGGGTTGTTTGGTTCTCAATGTTCTTGAAAATGCCTTCTTTTATGTTCCACAGAAGAAAGAAAGTCATACAGGTTTGGAACAACATGAGGGTGAGTAAATGATAACAGAATCTTTATTCTTTCTTTGTGAACTTTCCCTTTAACCCAGGATTAAAACTTGCTTTAACCCTGGGTTAAGCAAGATGTTATTCCAGGATTAAGGGCGAAGTGACAAGCCTCCAGGGTCAATTTTGAGGACCGCTGTTAGGGAGATGTGTGATGACTCTGTGGTAGTCTTGGGTCGGGGAGAGGGTGTGTTCAGCGGGCAGGTGTGAAAGCTCATGGCTGCGGATGTAGTTCATGCTGCCGGGATGACTGAGGAAAAGAAGCTGACGAGCAAACAGTGGCTCAACCTGTGACATGATGACAAAAGCAAATTAAGATGACACGAATATCATTTATGTTTTGTTCATAACTTCAGCGGTATTATAAGGAACCAAAGAAATGTACCTGCACTGTGAAAGTCCTTCTTGGTCTTTGAGCATCGGAGCTCTCATCCTCAAAGAATAGCAGGACTTGAGAGCATGGTGCAGGACGAGCGTGGAGGGCGTAACTCTGCAATTCTACAGAAGATATGGATTTTAATCACATACAATGACAGGTGAGAACTTCAGCAATACATTTTTTTTTCTGGACTCTTTAATGACCAGGTATTTCAAAAGAACAGTATTTGTTTAAAATAGAAAACATTTGCAATATTATAAATGTCTTAAATATAATTTAATTATATTTCATTTAATAATTTAATGCATAAAACTGCTGTATCAATTTCATCAAAATCATACTGACCCCAGACTTTTAAACGTCTATAAAATGTGGCAGATTATTCAGATTAATGGTCATTCAAAATGATCAAATCTTAAACTATTTTCCTGAATCTTTAATATTTAAGTACATCCTCGTTACAAAGTGTTTATTTGTAAATGGCATGTAATTGATCATGTTTCTTAAGCCATTGGGTAAAGCAAATGATCTTATCTCTTTCTGTAATACAGACTTTTTTTTCTCATTCTCTACTTGCTTTCCATACTATGAGCTTTAGGTCTAAAGTGGCACATGTGATTTCTATGGTATTTGAGTTGTATTCATCATATGCTGGAAAGTTCTGTGAGAATCACAACAATCAGTGAATCTATGACAGAAGGTGGGCGTGCGTGAGTTGTAACTCATAGATGACTGACTGACTGTCACTAAATATCAACCCACAGATAATGTGACACTATTTACTGTAAAAGTCTGACGTGTTTGTTTACAGTAAAATGTGTGTATTTGAGATGTGCAAATATGATGCATACAAACAGAGAATTAATAGACAGTTATAAAGATTTACCATAAATGACTGTCAGCGTTTACTGAAAACGATGAGTGATGAAGTAACCTGTTCATTTATTTATTAATTTTCTGCTTGCTTTCCAATGAATGACATCAGATCATTTGTCATAATCTTAGTGTAATTTATCAGAAATGCCTTACACGTGAATGTGTTCCTATGCACTAACCTGTTATGAACAGATGAGTGTCCAGCAGTTTGCAGTTCTGCTCTCTCTCCAGCTTGTTGGGCTTGTCGGTAGGTGGTGCGTGAGCTCCCTCCCAGTACACCCTGCAGGGGCAGCGGCGGCGGGCGTAGAGCCCGTCAGGGGCCATCCAGAGTATAACACCACGGTCCAGAGATGCCCCTTCAGCATGAGGGAGTTCAACCAGCTCTGGGGCCCCAGGTGAAGCGTAGACCTGTCCCTCTCTGCTAGGGCCCAGCTGACAGCCTTCTGGACTACTCACTGTTACCTCTCGCACCAAAGCTTCCCGGTAAAACACCACCACATGTAAGCGGTAATCTATTTGAGAAGAAGATCAAAATAAATAAACACTTAGATGACCTGGCATCATCTAACCCTAAATTAATATCTTTTTAAACACAATTTAATAAAGCAGCAGTCACTCTAGTCTTTTTTGTATTAATATAAAATGCTTTGTTTGCATTTTTAGGGTGACTTTTTAACATTTCGTCAAGGGTCTACAGATGAAAAGTAGCATTTTGGCTAGTAATGTTCATTAATGTGCATTGCCCATGTAAACAAATCAACTTGAACATACAAAATACAGACACTTTAATGGTTGTAGTATGAATCTTTGTAGTATTAAAAATCATAATTCAACATATCAAAAATGTAATAATATGCAGTCTACTCCGCTGTACTGCAATCCTGCACATTTAATACACCATGACGTATCATTCTTCTATTGGTCACATGTCTTCACGTGATATAAATTCACAGGTCAGAGTTCACCAAACTTATATTTTGGGATGCAGCAGAATTCGCGCGAGCTTGCATTTCCGGTCTCCCATATTTGCATGCATATGAATGGAAGTCAATGGAACGCCTCTTATGAACACCTCCTACCACTGTTAAAGTCGGAATGAAATTAAAATTCATTTATTTTCTAAATGCATATTATTGGTTTTAATGAATGATTCATTCATGCATATGTTTTTTTTACCACATAATTTCTTATTAAAATGTCATAAATCGTCTGGTAAAATGACAAACTTCTCTGTATTCTACACCATGTATTCTGGACTTTTCCAACTGTTTAGTCTTAAACCCTTTTCTTACAATCCAAATTTGCACTTTGCCTCCTTCCGGTCAACAACTGATGGATAGAACCAAGTCCCTGCTCTACATTTTTGATAATCTGCTTCATTCAAAATATGGAAGAATAGATCAGTTGCTACTTCTGTTACACTGTGACTTTAAATCTTTAGTAGCAATCTTGAGTCAAAATATAAATTTTTCATTCAGTACATCATAATGTTGTGATTCCTAAATAAATTATTTGTAGTACTTAAAATGACTGATTTTAGTTTTTAGTGTTTCATTTCTGTTTCTACTACTTAAAGATCAGTCCACCTGCCCGAATCGAGCCTGTCACTGTCACTGTCTCTGTGTGTTTATGATTATGTACCTGAGAGGGCCACTGCCTCAGCAGATCTCATGCTGGTGTCCAGCGTGAAGGGTGACGGCTGTGGATCAGATGCATTGCAACTGTAGAAAGAGCCACTGAACTGGTACCCTGCACATACAGAAATATGTCAATGCAAATGCATACTACCGGAACTTACAGTAGTTCTACTTTCTCTCTCAAACACACAAAGTACCAGGTTCCCATCGCGGCGTGTAGGGGCTCTGGCTGTAAGGGATCTCAGATAGGGTTGAGTAATCCCTCCATCCTCTGTCTGCTGGAGAAAGATAGTTGCACACCTGTAAGGACAAGCACATATGGTGATCTGAAGTGCAAAGATAGGAACGCACAAATCAAAGATGGTTTTGATTCTAACCTGAGATGGTGCTGGCACATAAGGTGGGTGTATTGGATAACTGGGTGAGCTTGAATTGGACTGTGAATCTTCAAGAGATCTGGATCCTGAAACATTTAAATATATATATTTTTTTTTTATTTGTTTTCATCATATCTAAAGAAGTATTTATTAGACAAATGGCAGCAAACAGCTGTTCTACTGTAGGATGTCATTTGATGTTTTTCTCCTTCTTTGCCTTTTTTGGATCCTTCCGGAACAATCCTATACACTTTATAGGGGTCTGATATGTCAAGCTGACTGCGCTCCACAATCTCCTCAAAGTCGTTGCTCTTGTTAAGAGCACATCGAAGACGTGTTTTCCAAGTTGGTGGGTCAGGTTTGTCAATACCCTCCCGATGCTTGCCTTTGAATAGGGCCCAAGCCTGCAGGAAAGCCAACATATGGGTCAATGTTATACTAGGATGCCCTTAAAAAAGGAGATTTTTATTTTTTTAAGAAATCTAGTTTCTACCAAGTAACCTTGATTTTATGTTGGTTTCATACATTTTTCAAATAATTTTTTATTTATAGATGTGGAGTGGTGCGACCATTGTCGTTCCTTAATACTTAATTGTTGCTTTCAAAAAAGGTTTTCAAACATATTTTAGTAAGGTAATATTTTTAACAAAAACTGAATTTTTGAGTCCTGAATATTAAGACGTTTGACCTGAAGAAGAAAAAACTTGCTTTCTCATAAAAAGTGATTATGCAAACACTGCACTACTTAATGATTTCAGCCTTTTAATGAGATTTTGACTCCAAACAGTAGACATTTTTAGGCACCACAAAAAATATATCAAACTATTCGAATTCGACAACGTCCCAGCAAACACAAAACGTTTTACAACCTTTTCACAACGTGAACGCAGTTGTGTTTGCTGGGGTTGAATGTATTTTTAATAACACAAATGTACGATCACATACATGCACTGTATGCCATGTTATTAAGATCACATGAGAGAAATAATGCTTTACTGACGCTGCATGGGTCTGTTTCTCATCCCCTCAACCTGCATCCTGACAGACTGTACCTTGAAGAGCGCAGCATCCTCCTCCCTGTTGTAGTCCTGTTTGCCCGCGTGCTTCCACGGAATCCGAAAGATACTTTTCTCCTCGTTCTCCCACACTAGTCCAGGGTATTTTCCGGTGTCCACCTGCTCTATCAACCACTGACGCAACTTTCCGTTACCGGAGCCCCCCGCCATCGCGCGCTCTTCATCTGAACACATCTGAAAACAAAATCGTGTATCATTCAGCGTTTTTTAATTTGGCACTACTAAATTAAATGTAAAAACCAATATGGTTAAAGCTAGTAGTTAAACAAATAACTAAAAATGCAGGAAAGTCCGAACTGAAAAAGACATATGCCTACAGCAGAAAGTACTGGAGCGCGTGCTGCCCTCTTTCAGAGCTTTTTCGAGTTTTGAAATGTGTCAGTAACGTAGTTCAGCTTTCGACCGCGACTTTTCTTCAATCGTTTGCATTGACAGGGGCGGAGCGTTCTTCCACGCACCTGCAGCGCGTGAGATATGACGGACGTCCCGTAAGCACGCGGGGGCTTCACATGATATCGAGCCCACGCGCGCTGCAGCGGGACTTTTGGCGTTTAATAAAATAATTTTAATTTCTTTGAATTCAGTGACGTTGAAATGCCAGCTGTTTGTTTATAGATATAAGTGTACTCTGTGTGTTCAAGTCTTGACTAGATTCTAAAGCGGGCACGACCTTAGCCATGCAACTACATACAGAAACGTGTGGGCTCGTAGAATAATACAAAACAGCCATCAACCGATAAAATGGGAGAAAAGAAAAAGAAAATCTTGGTCAATTCTGAAATAGGCTATATTAATAAATCGTAAAAAAACGCATTTTTATCATATTTTAATCTGACTATTGTGTGCCCCATATAAACACAGTAGGCCTACCACAACTACATACAGAAACGTGTGGGCTCGTAGAATAATACAAAACAGCCATCAACCGATAAAATGGGAGAAAAGAAAAAGAAAATCTTGGTCAATTCTGAAATAGGCTATATTAATAAATCGTAAAAAAACGCATTTTTATCATATTTTAATCTGACTATTGTGTGCCCCATATAAACACAGTAGGCCTACCACAAACTAACCATCACATATGGCTATTTTATAACGTTAACATGATTTGCTTCAGAAGGCTTGTCATTTTACGAGCTATGTCTAGTGTTTGAGCTGTTCTCCGTCATCTGTATTGGTCTCAGTGGCAATCATTCCTCAGTAAGGCTGATCTCTGTCTATTTGTAGCCAACAGAGAGCAGTAAAGGGCCATTCTCTAAAAAGACAAGACAGCAACCACTTCATAAACCACTACATTGCAATAGAATTTTAAAATAAAGAATTTTCATCCTACATAAGACCATTTCATTCTGTAATAGTGGGAGGTTAGATGTGTCAATTTCTTTTTAAACACAATTTAATAAAGCAGCAGTCACTCTAGTCTTTTTTGTATTAATATAAAATGCTTTGTTTGCATTTTTAGGGTGACTTTTTAACATTTCGTCAAGGGTCTACAGATGAAAAGTAGCATTTTGGCTAGTAATGTTCATTAATGTGCATTGCCCATGTAAACAAATCAACTTGAACATACAAAATACAGACACTTTAATGGTTGTAGTATGAATCTTTGTAGTATTAAAAATCATAATTCAACATATCAAAAATGTAATAATATGCAGTCTACTCCGCTGTACTGCAATCCTGCACATTTAATACACCATGACGTATCATTCTTCTATTGGTCACATGTCTTCACGTGATATAAATTCACAGGTCAGAGTTCACCAAACTTATATTTTGGGATGCAGCAGAATTCGCGCGAGCTTGCATTTCCGGTCTCCCATATTTGCATGCATATGAATGGAAGTCAATGGAACGCCTCTTATGAACACCTCCTACCACTGTTAAAGTCGGAATGAAATTAAAATTCATTTATTTTCTAAATGCATATTATTGGTTTTAATGAATGATTCATTCATGCATATGTTTTTTTTACCACATAATTTCTTATTAAAATGTCATAAATCGTCTGGTAAAATGACAAACTTCTCTGTATTCTACACCATGTATTCTGGACTTTTCCAACTGTTTAGTCTTAAACCCTTTTCTTACAATCCAAATTTGCACTTTGCCTCCTTCCGGTCAACAACTGATGGATAGAACCAAGTCCCTGCTCTACATTTTTGATAATCTGCTTCATTCAAAATATGGAAGAATAGATCAGTTGCTACTTCTGTTACACTGTGACTTTAAATCTTTAGTAGCAATCTTGAGTCAAAATATAAATTTTTCATTCAGTACATCATAATGTTGTGATTCCTAAATAAATTATTTGTAGTACTTAAAATGACTGATTTTAGTTTTTAGTGTTTCATTTCTGTTTCTACTACTTAAAGATCAGTCCACCTGCCCGAATCGAGCCTGTCACTGTCACTGTCTCTGTGTGTTTATGATTATGTACCTGAGAGGGCCACTGCCTCAGCAGATCTCATGCTGGTGTCCAGCGTGAAGGGTGACGGCTGTGGATCAGATGCATTGCAACTGTAGAAAGAGCCACTGAACTGGTACCCTGCACATACAGAAATATGTCAATGCAAATGCATACTACCGGAACTTACAGTAGTTCTACTTTCTCTCTCAAACACACAAAGTACCAGGTTCCCATCGCGGCGTGTAGGGGCTCTGGCTGTAAGGGATCTCAGATAGGGTTGAGTAATCCCTCCATCCTCTGTCTGCTGGAGAAAGATAGTTGCACACCTGTAAGGACAAGCACATATGGTGATCTGAAGTGCAAAGATAGGAACGCACAAATCAAAGATGGTTTTGATTCTAACCTGAGATGGTGCTGGCACATAAGGTGGGTGTATTGGATAACTGGGTGAGCTTGAATTGGACTGTGAATCTTCAAGAGATCTGGATCCTGAAACATTTAAATATATATATTTTTTTTTTATTTGTTTTCATCATATCTAAAGAAGTATTTATTAGACAAATGGCAGCAAACAGCTGTTCTACTGTAGGATGTCATTTGATGTTTTTCTCCTTCTTTGCCTTTTTTGGATCCTTCCGGAACAATCCTATACACTTTATAGGGGTCTGATATGTCAAGCTGACTGCGCTCCACAATCTCCTCAAAGTCGTTGCTCTTGTTAAGAGCACATCGAAGACGTGTTTTCCAAGTTGGTGGGTCAGGTTTGTCAATACCCTCCCGATGCTTGCCTTTGAATAGGGCCCAAGCCTGCAGGAAAGCCAACATATGGGTCAATGTTATACTAGGATGCCCTTAAAAAAGGAGATTTTTATTTTTTTAAGAAATCTAGTTTCTACCAAGTAACCTTGATTTTATGTTGGTTTCATACATTTTTCAAATAATTTTTTATTTATAGATGTGGAGTGGTGCGACCATTGTCTTTCCTTAATACTTAATTGTTGCTTTCAAAAAAGGTTTTCAAACATATTTTAGTAAGGTAATATTTTTAACAAAAACTGAATTTTTGAGTCCTGAATATTAAGACGTTTGACCTGAAGAAGAAAAAACTTGCTTTCTCATAAAAAGTGATTATGCAAACACTGCACTACTTAATGATTTCAGCCTTTTAATGAGATTTTGACTCCAAACAGTAGACATTTTTAGGCACCACAAAAAATATATCAAACTATTCGAATTCGACAACGTCCCAGCAAACACAAAACGTTTTACAACCTTTTCACAACGTGAACGCAGTTGTGTTTGCTGGGGTTGAATGTATTTTTAATAACACAAATGTACGATCACATACATGCACTGTATGCCATGTTATTAAGATCACATGAGAGAAATAATGCTTTACTGACGCTGCATGGGTCTGTTTCTCATCCCCTCAACCTGCATCCTGACAGACTGTACCTTGAAGAGCGCAGCATCCTCCTCCCTGTTGTAGTCCTGTTTGCCCGCGTGCTTCCACGGAATCCGAAAGATACTTTTCTCCTCGTTCTCCCACACTAGTCCAGGGTATTTTCCGGTGTCCACCTGCTCTATCAACCACTGACGCAACTTTCCGTTACCGGAGCCCCCCGCCATCGCGCGCTCTTCATCTGAACACATCTGAAAACAAAATCGTGTATCATTCAGCGTTTTTTAATTTGGCACTACTAAATTAAATGTAAAAACCAATATGGTTAAAGCTAGTAGTTAAACAAATAACTAAAAATGCAGGAAAGTCCGAACTGAAAAAGACATATGCCTACAGCAGAAAGTACTGGAGCGCGTGCTGCCCTCTTTCAGAGCTTTTTCGAGTTTTGAAATGTGTCAGTAACGTAGTTCAGCTTTCGACCGCGACTTTTCTTCAATCGTTTGCATTGACAGGGGCGGAGCGTTCTTCCACGCACCTGCAGCGCGTGAGATATGACGGACGTCCCGTAAGCACGCGGGGGCTTCACATGATATCGAGCCCACGCGCGCTGCAGCGGGACTTTTGGCGTTTAATAAAATAATTTTAATTTCTTTGAATTCAGTGACGTTGAAATGCCAGCTGTTTGTTTATAGATATAAGTGTACTCTGTGTGTTCAAGTCTTGACTAGATTCTAAAGCGGGCACGACCTTAGCCATGCAACTACATACAGAAACGTGTGGGCTCGTTGAATAATACAAAACAGCCATCAACCGATAAAATGGGAGAAAAGAAAAAGAAAATCTTGGTCAATTCTGAAATAGGCTATATTAATAAATCGTAAAAAAACGCATTTTTATCATATTTTAATCTGACTATTGTGTGCCCCATATAAACACAGTAGGCCTACCACAAACTAACCATCACATATGGCTATTTTATAACGTTAACATGATTTGCCGCAGAAGGCTTGTCATTTTACGAGCTATGTCTAGTGTTTGAGCTGTTCTCCGTCATCTGTATTGGTCTCAGTGGCAATCATTCCTCAGTAAGGCTGATCTCTGTCTATTTGTAGCCAACAGAGAGCAGTAAAGGGCCATTCTCTAAAAAGACAAGACAGCAACCACTTCATAAACCACTACATTGCAATAGAATTTTAAAATAAAGAATTTTCATCCTACATAAGACCATTTCATTCTGTAATAGTGGGAGGTTAGATGTGTCAATTTCTGGTTCATAATTTACACTGTCGTCATACTGCCACAAACTGTAAGATATATACAAATTTGCTGTCTGATATTCATTGAGTCTTTCAGTATATTGAAATAAATCCAACATATCAAGGTGAGTGAACTTGCAACCTTTATTTGCCAAAACAAAAACTAACCAACTGCTAAATAATTTGATTTAAAATACACTTATTTTGAAGAAATGTAGGCCTATATGAATATTACTTTAGGCTTAGCTAGCGATGGGAACCAGTTAAATTGTGATATAAGATATGCAAGCCTGTAAAAAAAAAAGATGTGCAGTCCAAATTTACAATGAATAGTACAAAGAGGATTGCTGGCACAATTCTTTTACTTTATCTTATGGTATCTGGGATTTAAAAAAGGAACTTTTCAGTTTTTGTGTTCTTGTGTCATTTTAAAGTCAAATTCAAACTGAAATGTTTTATTATGGCTTTAACATCTATTTTGGCTACTTTTCAAAACACTTGTGAATGCATATAACCATATTTATCTTTAAATTAACATAGTTATGAAAAGAAAACTCGCTGTTTCCACAAAAAAAGTTTCACTTTTGATTAACAGTACACCACTCCAGAATGTCATTTCCGCCACGTTGTTTCATATACTAGGCGCTACGGTCAAATCCTATAAAACCTCAGATCAAAGGAAAACCTATCTCTGGCATTCATTTATTGAGCCAGATCCTATGTCCATAATGAATAAATGAAGCCTGTAAAAAAAAAAGATGTGCAGTCCAAATTTACAATGAATAGTACAAAGAGGATTGCTGGCACAATTCTTTTACTTTATCTTATGGTATCTGGGATTTAAAAAAGGAACTTTTCAGTTTTTGTGTTCTTGTGTCATTTTAAAGTCAAATTCAAACTGAAATGTTTTATTATGGCTTTAACATCTATTTTGGCTACTTTTCAAAACACTTGTGAATGCATATAACCATATTTATCTTTAAATTAACATAGTTATGAAAAGAAAACTCGCTGTTTCCACAAAAAAAGTTTCACTTTTGATTAACAGTACACCACTCCAGAATGTCATTTCCGCCACGTTGTTTCATATACTAGGCGCTACGGTCAAATCCTATAAAACCTCAGATCTCTGGCATTCATTTATTGAGCCAGATCCTATGTCCATAATGAATAAATGAATGAATGAATGAACGAACGAATAAATAAATACATTTAAAATAATACAAATGTAAAAAAAAAAACGGTCTGATAAAATGAAAATGACTTCAAGCGTTGAGTAATTTCCAAATAATATGAAAATAACTGTCTGGTGAGAAATAACAAAATAAAAGCCTTTCGTAAAAAAGACTAATTGACCATTTAAAAGCCTTCCTAGCTCTAAAAAGAAAACTCCCTGTTTCCACAGACCAGTTTCAATTCAGATTAATAGTCCACTACCCCAGGGTGCCACTCGGCCAGTTTCAGGACGATCTGATATCCCAGTACAAAATAAAAGCCCTCCAAAAACTCATATATGACCAGTTTTGTCTAGATCCTATGTCCATAATGAATAAATGAATGAATGAATGAATGAACGAACGAATAAATAAATACATTTAAAATAATACAAATGTAAAAAAAAAACGGTCTGATAAAATGAAAATGACTTCAAGCGTTGAGTAATTTCCAAATAATATGAAAATAACTGTCTGGTGAGAAATAACAAAATAAAAGCCTTTCGTAAAAAAGACTAATTGACCATTTAAAAGCCTTCCTAGCTCTAGGTTTCCACAGACCAGTTTCAATTCAGATTAATAGTCCACTACCCCAGGGTGTCACTCGGCCAGTTTCAGGACGATCTGATTTCCCAGTACAAAATAAAAGCCCTCCAAAAACTCATATATGACCAGTTTTGTCTTTGATTTTGGATAGCTCTGAAAGGAAAACCCCTGTTTCCACTGAACAATTTCAATTCAGATTGACAGTCCACTACCCCAGAGTGTCACTCAGCCAGTTTCAGGATAATCTGATGTTGCATTACAAAATAAAAGCCTTCAAAAATCTCATATATGACCGGTTTTGCCCTTGAATTTGAATAGCTCTAAAAAGAAAACTCCCTGTTTCCACAGACCAGTTTCAATTCAGATTGACAGTCCACCACCCCAGAGTGCCACTGGGCCAATGCCAGGACTGTCTGATGTTGCATTACAAAATAAAAGCCCTCAAAACAACTTGCATATAACCTGTATTTTCCATATTTTCAGATAGCTCTAAAAAGAAAATGTCCATAGACTATTTTCACTTCAGATTGATAGCACACCACCCCAGAGTGTCACTTATGCAATGTCAGGACTATATGATGTACAATTCCAAAATGAAAGCCCTCCAAAAACTCAAATAAATTCTGTTTTGTCTGTCATTTCAGATTAGTATAAAAAAGAAACTTCTGATTTAGTCTAGTTTCCCCTCAGATTGACAGTACACGTTCTCAATGTCACTTACACCATTTCACTGTCTGATGTTGAATTCCAAAATAAGAGCCCGCCAAAACTTGTATATACACTGTTTTGTTTACACAGTCCTAAAGTAATGTAAGTGATACTATGAGAAGGCGTACTATCAATCTGAAGTGAAAGTAGTCTGTGTAAACAACGAGATACTGTTTTCAACTTATCTAAATCATTAGACAGTCCTGACATTGTGTGAGTGATATTCTGCACTTGTGTGAGTGATCAGTCTGAAGTGAAAATGGTTTGTGGAAACAGAGTTTCCATTTTATACCAATCTAAACTCTTATACAAAACATCTTATGAGTTTTTGAAGGACTTCAATTTGTAATATTGCACCAGATAGTCCTGACATTGTGGGAGCGACAATGAGGAGGTGTACTGGTTATCTTAAGTCAAAGTGGTCTGTGGAAACAGGGAGTTTCCTTTTTAAACCAATCCAAATTGACAGACAAAGCAGTTTAAATATGAGCTTTTAGAGGGCTTCTATTTTGGAATTATACATCAGATAGTCCAGATATTTGCTGCGTTCACGCCATATCGTAATTACCGTGATTTCGAGATGACAGCACGTGACGTTCTACTCGGAGGTTGTTCACGTCATCGGACTGCTTTTCTGTTTCAACTCGATCAACGCCTAAACAGAGCCTGCGGTGGTCACGTGGTACAGCAGTGGTCAGGTATGGAGCCAGATCGGCCTCAAAAATAATACAGTTGCAAAACAAAATTCATAAATGCACAGCACAATTTACATTTACAAAATCCGATTCGTAAATTCAAAACACAATTCATAAATACACAAGTAAAAGCATAAATATTTCCCCAAATGCTCACACAAATGCATCTTACCTAAGTACATTTAAAATGTTTACACAAATATGTATATATACATTTCTTGAATTAATTTCCATCACACATTTATGAATAATGGTACATGTATTTATGGATCGTTGAATCTGCATTTGCAAATAATCACACATGCGTGAACTGCTTTGAATTTGAGTGTGGTAGTTTTGAGACCTTCCTGGCAGGTTAAGATTCATAAATATCTTTTTTTGGAGGATGTTCCGTTCAGCCAATCACGGTGAGCTTTTAATCCACCAATCAAAACGCTCTTCACTGAACAGACTCAAGAAGCTCAACACTGCGCTTGTACTGTGCAGTGTTCCATGATCGGGTCCTTGATATGAAGACATTTTAATGGGTACTCTCTTTTTTTAGCACCTGATTACAATTTCTACAAAATCACATTATGATTTATTTATTTTCTACCCGGTTAGCCTGCTGTCTTATAGACCAAAGTTGCTCAATCTGTAATGTTATCAAATAAGTGTTAAATGTCCAGATATTTCATTTAATAACAACAATTATGTAATGTGTTCTGTTGTTGTTGTTGTTGTTAGTAGTAGGCTATCAGGTTCACAGTAACTTTTGATCAGGCATTAAAAACTAGCTATCACCACCGAAGGGAGATTTCGAACACACACAAGTGAAGAGATTCAGCACAGAGGATGAAAACCATACTCAACGAGTGAGTAAAGTCATTTTTTTATCTGATGGCATTTTCTTATGATTAAAGGTTGTTTTAGTTAATTAAGTGTGCAGTGTTACAACGTTGTTAGTCCATGCCAGCTTTCTTATATTATAACTGGTGTTTGTAGGAAGACTTTAGTAATCACAGGATGAATGGGCGATAAACAATCAGT